CGTTCCTCATAGGTGATCCGGGCATTCCTAGTATCCAGGTAGGCGTCTAGACGTGCCACCCGATCTTTCTCATCGGCCGTTAAACCGAATAAAGATACGGTCGAAAAGATTTCGAAGTGATATCGAATGTGTTGAAGGTCTTCGAGAGAAAAAGGAAGTTCGACTGTGTCAATGTCCGTGTATGGGTCGACCTCGAAGCCGAGAACCCTGGCTTCTCGAATGTGCTGGAATCTAGTTTTCATCACTGGATCAGTGGTTTTTTGGATGATCTGCTCAGTATCGGGGCAAGTTAATGCCAGGTTAGGAGCTTCTTGGCATGCCTTGGGCAAACTATACAAATTGTTGGCAGAATATTTTTTATGAAACTCTTTCATGTACTCCAAAGATTCGTCGAGGAATGGGGGGTGCAGATTCCGTAGAACTCTAATTAATGGTTCTCTCAAAGGTAACACGGGCAGTTGGCTTTCGACCTCTTTCTTACATTGCTCGAAGCGAGCTTTCATCTCCCTAGGCCGAAGAAGGAGTTTGATACGCTTCTCGGACTCTTCAATGGTAGTTTCGAAGTCGCGATTAGTTTCTTTATGCCCCTGTAACTCAGCAATGATTGTTGGGGTTGGTCGATCATCTCCGCTCCTTGCCGCCTCTTTCAGCTTCCATTTAGTGGCCGAAACAGACTGGGCCGCTTACCGTCGAGCCAAGCAATCTATACGCTGACGTCGACATTTCTAAGATTTGGAAAGCATGGTATACATACCGGTGGGAGAATTATAGCTATACCAACGTTGGTTACGCGGCCTGAAAGTTTTTGATTCGCTGATGAGCTTGAGCTACTGGAATTACGTGAATAATAATCCTCGTTATAAAACTGTGCGTCAAAATCAAGGCGCCGTCTGACCGAGGTAGGGTCGTCCGTCTGTTTCTTAGGGCCGAGCCTATCGAATACTTTCTGGCGCTGGCCTTCACTAGGTTCCTTTGAAGGTGTCGTCGTGGTCGTCGATTGTTGTCGTGACATCGCCATCTACGTCTGAGGCAGTTTCTCCTTGGGCTCGGTTAAAACAACGCGTGCCTTACAATTGCTGCACAAAACTATCAGCCTGTCATTTTCTTCTTCGCTGGAGTCTGACATGGATTTAACTATGGCCGGTCCTGAGAGCTCGGTAGGTGGTGCATTGGAAAATAGGTCGATCTTGAGTCGAGGCTGGGAACCTTTCTTTAGGATGTGTTGTACTGGGGCAAACCCGACCTTTTCTTTCCCTTTGCTCTTGGGCAAACGGGCATCTACCATGCCAACTGTTGCTGAATGGAATGGATCTGTATCAACCGTCATGCGTTTTTCAGGAAACTTTAACTTGCCTTTGTCAATCCAGCTCTGGATATCATCACAAAATATGACACAATTGTTTGTGGCATGCTTGGTTGAGTTATGATATTTGCAATATGTCTTTCCTTTAAGCTCTTCGGCCTTGGGAATGTTATGCCATGGTCGAAGTTTGATGATCTTCGCTGATAGCAATTGATCAAAGATTGCTTCGGCCTTTGTAATATCAAAAGTGTAAACTTTCGATGTTTTCGTGTTCCTTCCGTGGCCGAGCGGGTTTTGGCATCCTTGGAATTAATTTGAGTCAATGCCTTGCATACGTATGGTTTATCTATTACTATCTCGGCCGCGTCCACGCTGACATATTGAGACTCCTCGTCTTCGGTCGATGCGTAACTGACCGTGGGGTTTTTGTAAATCATCCATCGAGATGGGGATTTCGAGATCTTCTCTTCTCGGAGCAAATAATCATATTGTTTGACATGCTGGGCTAGTTCATACATATCCCGAAAGTTTACCCCCAAGAATTTCTTTTTGTATTCTACATCGAGGCCGTTCAGAGCAAGTTTAACAAACTCGACTTCGGGTAAAGGCACTCGGCACCAATTCCTGGCCGATTTAAATATGGTAAGATAATCCATTGGTGACTCATCAGATGTTTGAGCCATCCTTGCTAATGAAGAAACTGACATTTCCATCCTTGGCCGATAAAACTGCTAGTGAAATTTCTCGACCAACTCCTCCCAACTTTGGACAGAATTAGGTGGGAGGTTGATATACCAGGCAAATGCTGAGCTGGTCAACGAAAAGTTGAACAGCCGCAACTTGTTAAAGTCACTATTAACATCTCCGCATTGCGTGGTGAAACGAGCCACATGTTCTAACGAGGATAAGGACGATTCTTCAGCGAAAATGCTAAAATCTGGAATTTTGAAACCTTTAGGATATTCGAACCTTTCCACATAAGCTGGACAAGGATGGATGAATTTAGGGAACTTCGGCCCCTTTTTCATGGCCGAATCGATCATCCGTTGGACCTCGGTCATATCGACGGGTGTTGCTTCCATTCTCTGGTCGAATCCATCTGACCTACTACTCGATCCTCCCCTTTTTTCTAAGTCAATGGTCTTAGGCCGAGTAGACACCACTTCAGCCTGTAGGGAATTACTTTTAAATGGAAGCTGCGGAGCCTGATCAACAGGTTTCTCTTCGAAGACTTTACTAACTATTAGTTCGAGCAATCGAGTTTAGGTATCTTCAGTGCTTTGTATTGCTTCAAGCAAACGGTTCATTTTATGGCCTACTGTCTGTTCCACTTGCCGGGATTGCTCGTCAAGTCGTCTTCGAAAAAATGACCTAGTCGGAGGATCAGAACATTAGTAAGCTAACTACGTCATTCGGTTGTATGCGGGGCGTGCCAACTCGTCGGCCGAGGAGTAAAATTTGTTGATATTGCGTTGGGTGCGCTGCTGACTTCTCGATCTTGCGACTGCGGTCGAGGAAGGAACACTCTCGGCATTCGGGTTCTAGAGCTTGAAGACAAAGCTACTAGTTCTGCAAAGTTCACAAATCGTCGACGTCAGATTCGGTCACTGTGATTATATTTGTGAGAGTATAAGCACGCAAAATCGACACCAGAGTATAGGGACATAAATATTCAAAACGAATATACGTCTTGATTGTGAAAGTGGTTCAGCCGTCAGAATGCCGAACTCTAAATCCTACTTGCGAATAACCAATCATAAACGACTCGGCGTTCAATGTACCGAGTATAATAACTTTTACACCTCGCTTCGCCGAGAAGGCTAACGAGATGACCTCTGCTGATAAGGATTCGAAAGTCATTCTCGACCGAGACTTGGATAGATAACCGGTCGGCCCTGTCGCAGTGCTATTTATCCAAACTGAAGATGCTTCACGGCCGGCTGATTCTACGGCGACAATGCTGTTTATCCAAACTGAAGAGTTCGCCGGTTGCCTTCACAATGTTGTTTATCCAAACTGAATGTGCGTTGGCGAAAAGAGGAAAACAAAAAAATCTCAAGGTTGTTGAAAGGTTTCGCGTAGAGCGAGAGAATGCGCAAAGCAATTTGTGTGTTGAATTTGAGGGGCTTGTTTCGATGTCTTCCCTCCCTATTTATAGCAGCCAACCTGTATTGAATTCCAATCACTCTCGGATTAGAACTCCTTCTCATGATCCAACCTTATCTCGGCCAATCCTATTCCTACTAGGACTTTGAACATAACTCGTTATCAGACCGTATTCAATCTTAGCATTCTGATCCCATCAAAACTCCTTCTCATAACAGGATTCGTCCACATTCCCAATTTCTGATAGGATATGGCCAACTTCGACCGCGCGGCCCATGGGCTGAATATCTCCCAATGACACCTGTACACGACTTCTGGGTCGGAAAAAAATCTAAACTCGGCCTATCCAACACTAGGCCGAAAAAGATCTAACTCGGCCCAAAACAATATTTTTTGGCCCAAACAAAAACTAATTGGCAATATGGAAAGTAGCGCAACTACTTATAAGCATATGCAAAGTCTTTTATCTCATCAATGTGAAATTGATTCTCAACAATCAATACCTCAATATTCTTTTTCGTTTCTACAATTTCTTTGATAAGTATTCTTCTTTGTCTGGGTTGTTTAATTGACTGTATAATTTAGGTTGAATACATATTAGGCAAGATATTTTACGCAAACGTTTTTAATTTATTTTTTCCAGAAACCCTTATGGCAAGTTTTTAGGGATGAAAATTAAATTTGAAATAGAAAATATAAAGAAACACTAGATATGGCTTGTCATGTTGTGTTCATGTGCGTGTTGGCTTGCTGTAATAGCTTCATATTCATGGCAGGCAGTGTGGGTGGGGCCTTTGCTGTGGAAGGAGGTTGTTGCTGGTGTTTATTTATTTATTTTTAAAGTCCAGAGACTCTTGTCCGGACAGTATAAATAATCAACATTTTAATTTACAAAACTTTAACGAAAAGCTTTCAGTACTATTTAATTTAATGAAAAATCACATTTTTATCCTAAAAAGTTAAACCACATTTTTACAATAAAAAGTCAATCCTTTATTTTGTTCTTATCGTTAAAACTCAGAGTTTTCAAGTCATTTTCATTAGTTTAATATTTAATCTACTTAATGATTGAAAGAATAGTCATTATAATCCGATGCACATATTATCCTATCCAACTAAAATAGTGAGTATAGTTCGAGCTGTCAAACAAAGCTTAAGTGTTAAGTTTATTACAAAATGTATCGATGCAATCAAAATAGCAAAACCATATAACGTTAAAGAGAATTTAACTTAGGTTTTTGAATCGTGCCTTGGACCTAAAACTAAACTAACTTAACTAACCTGAAATGACACTCTCTCTTGTTTTTGCCATTACTAATTGAATTCTGTATGGAAATGTGACATGTTATTTTACTTTGAAAGCTCCATATGTTCAACTCAACGTCGATAAATTAGCCACAATTTAGCCTGCCAACACAATGCTCTAAATTTGTAACTAATTAGCTTTGTTATGAGAGAATGATTCAAACCTTAATCAAAGCAACCCTGGTCTTTAGGCTTTAACTCCAAACGTTGCTCAACACGTGTCAAGCAATGAATGGAACTGAAGAAGCTATAAAATCCCACTCACTAACTTCCACATTTCATCATCAAAAAAAAGTTGTACGCACTTTTCAGCTGCCTCAAATTTTCTTGTGTGTGTTTGTGTAGAAAGAGAATTACTTCATCAAGATGAACCAATCCCAGAACATGAGCCACCAAGCTGGCCAGGCCAAGGGCCAAGCTCAAGTGAGTCTAGAAGCAGCTGTCTAGAAAAGCAATTTTGGTCAATAGTTTGTTGGTCGTTTTGGTGGTTCATGATCATGTGTTTTTGCAATTTTGATATACAGGAAAAGGCCAGTGGCATGATGGACCAAATGGGCAATGCTGCCCAATCTGCCAAGGAATCAGCCCAGGGGGTTTGAACTTCTTATTCTTTTGTTGATTCCACATACATTATGTCCGTTTTTTGTTAAGGGATGATTTTGTATGAATTACATGTCAATAAGTTTTGACATGTTATGTGCAATAACATCAACACCTTGTCGACATTGTATCGACAGTCTGTCCCTTAATAAATTACATACGTCTTTGCTTATTACTCGTTGCATATGCATGTTGTAATTGCATGTGTTTTTGCAGGCTGGTCAGCAAATGATGGAGAAGGCTCAGGGAGCAGCTGACTCCGTCAAGGATGCAGTTGGCGCCAACAAAAGAAGCTGAGATGGGGATCTCATCAGTCCAATTCCTCCAAAATTTCGTGTTCCCGTTTTTGTTTTGTGATTCTTTCTTTTTTGGTCCATCTTTTGCTTAAACTTGCTGTTTGAAGCAAGAACAAGTTCTGATCATGCAACCACTTACTGTTCAGAGAACATTTTGCTAATAATCTCAATGATATTGTTTCTCTAGCACCAATGTTTCAGAGTGGTTATTTATTTACTTTTATTCCAAATTGATATCGAGAATCATTTCTACTTAACTGCAAATCACAATGCAACGCATACAAAAAACCAAGGAAAAAGACATTTGTGTTGAAACCAACTATGTACTGGTTTGGTACTAATGTGCTTTTATAAAAAATGGGTATAAAAAAAGCTGAACTCAAAAATATGTTCGGTAAACACTTTAAAACAGCTTATTTTCATAGTTTTGGATGAAAAAAAGCTGAAAACGTGAAGCAGAAAAAATGAGTTTATTCTCACATCACAGTAGAAGCAGTTTTTTTTTTTCAAAGCACAGCAATACCAAACCAGCTTTACATATGGCTTCAAATGTCTTCAAGACGATTAGCAAATAGAGAACCAAAAGCCTCCATACAATGTTTTTCCAAAACCAAGCCAACCTTAACACCACCATCACCATTCTTGCTCGCTTGAAAAGGTATCGCTCCTGTCCCATCTATCGAAACTATCTCGTGCTTCGTCAGTCTTCCCCAACCGAAATCAGCTGCACCATAAAAATCAACGGTGTGAACCGGAAATGGGAATTATTCTATCAATACTACTGGTCTGCAGTGTGTATAAATATATATAATTATTTTTTTAATACAAAATCAAATGTATAAATATATATAATTATTGTTCTTATGAAGCTGGTATAATAAGTTTCTACTCTTATCCATCCATAATTGAGTGTTTAGTGTTGTATAATAGCTAAACCTGTCGAGCATGACAAACACACTCTATGAAGTATTTGAGAGATTTTTCACTGTGTTAAAAATAGGAGGTGGAACATCACATGATTATAACATTGAAGGAAAGTGTTTTATTTTTCTAAGTGTCTTGCTAATATATAACATGTTATATATGCACCTTGTTCGAAAATCTAAACGTATCGTATGTTAGATTAATTAGTGGCTCCTAGATTATTGGGTAATGATAAAACGTCCACGAAACTACCATCTTGACGAATCATCTCCATCTTGACGAGGCGGTAACGACTTCTCAGTCACTCCGCGAAACTACCATCACCTACGTCGTCAAGAACAATAAGGGAGGAACACACTCCAATGAATCGATCAAGCAATAATTATTTCATTTCTTTTACCAAAATCATGCAACTTCCATTCAAATTGTAGAGTGTGAATTTATCATGCAAGTATGCAACTTTTTTCTCTCCCTCGCTCTCTGGGCCAAAGTATTTGTAAGCACATGTAAGGGCAATTTTCTTATTAATGTGAGATTCATTCTCAATATACCCCCTCACGTGTGGCGAATTTACAAGCCTAACACGTAGATAACACAACAGGGTGACGTGAAGTGCGTGTGGCCGTTTGACTTCACACGAAGACAATCTATTCTAATACCATGAAAAAAGTTGAGATTCCACAATAAAACTGATTGACAATATGGAGACTAGCACAACTACTTATAAGCACATGCAAGGTCATTTATCTCATTAATGTGGAATTCATTCTCAACAATCATTACCTCAATTTTCTTTTTCGTTTCTACAATTTCTTTGATTAGTATTCTTCTCTCTCTGGGTTGTTTAATTGACTGTATAATTTAGGTTGAATACATATTAGGCAAGATTTTTCTGCATTTTACGGCAAACGTTTTTAATTTATTTTTTCCAGAAACCCTTATGGCAAGTTTTTAGGGATGAAAATTAAATTTGAAATAGAAAATATAAAGAAACACTAAATATGGCTTGTCATGTTGTGTTCATGTGCGTGTTGGCTTGCTGTAATAGCTTCATATTCATGGCAGGCAGTGTGGGTAGGGCTTTGCTGTGGAAGGAGGTTGTTGCTGGTGCTTATTTATTTATTTTTTAAGTCCAGAGACACTTATCCGGACAGTATAAATAATCAGCCTTTTAATCTAGGAAACGTTAACGAAAAACTCCCGGTACTGTTTACTTTAACAAAAAATCACATTTTTACCCTAAAAAGTTAAACCACACTTTTACACTAAAAAGTCAATCATGATATTATTCACTTTACCCTTTATTTTGTCCTTATCATTAAAACTCAAAGTTTTCAAGCCATTTTTCATTAGTTTTCCTTTTAATCTACTTAATGACTGAAAGAATAGTCATTATAATCCAATGCACTTATTATCCTATCCAACTAAGTTCGAGCTGTCAAACGAAGCTTAAGTGTTAAGTTTATTACAAAACGTATCGATGCAATCAAAATAGCAAAACCATATAACATTTAAGAGAATTTAACTTAGGTTTTTGATGTGGGACATGTTTTAACTAGCAAAAAATAAGAGTGAGACACTTGAGAAGCACAAATAGGACTTCCTTGTAATCTATGAAGAGACAAAACCATACTCTCCTTCCTGAAACTAAACTAACTTAACTAATCTGAAATGACGCTCTCTATTGTTTTTGCCATTACTAATTAAATTCTGCATGGAAATGTGACATTTTATTTTACTTTGAAAGCTCCATATATTCAACTCAACGTCGATAAATTAGCCACAATTTAGCCTGCCAACACAATGCTCTAAATTTGTAACTAATTAGCTTTGTCATGAGAGAATGACTCAAACCTTAATCAAAGCAACCCTGGTCTTTAGGCTTTAACTCCAAACTTTGCTCAACACGTGTCAAGCAATTAATGGAACTGAAGAAGCTATAAAATCCCACCCACTAACTTCAACATTTCATCATAAAAAAAAAAGTTGTACGCACTTTTCAGCTGCCTCAAATTTTCTTGTGTGTGTTTGTGTAGAAAGAGAATTACTTCATCAAGATGAACCAATCCCAGAACATGAGCCACCAAGCTGGCCAGGCCAAGGGCCAAGCTCAAGTGAGTCTAAAAGCAGCTGTCTAGAAAAGCAATTTGGTTAAAAGTTTGTTGGTCATTTTGGTGGTTCATGATCATGTGTTTTGCAATTTTGATATACAGGAAAAGGCCAGTGGCATGATGGACCAAATGAGCATGCTGCCCAATCTGCAAGGAATCAGCCCAGGGGGTTTGAACTTCTTATTTCTTTTGTTGATTCCACATACATTATGTCCGTTTTTTGTTAAGGGATGATTTTGTATGAATTACATGTCAATACGTTCTGTTATTGACATGTTATGTGCAATAACATCAACACCTTATTGGCACTATATCAACAGTCTGTCCCTTAATAAATTACATACGTCTTTGCTTATTACTCGTTGCATATGCATGTTGTAATTGCATATGTGTTTTTGCAGGCTGGTCAGCAAATGATGGAGAAGGCCCAGGGAGAGATGACTCCGTCAAGGATGCAGTTGGCGCCACAAAAGAAGTGAGAGGGGGATCTCATCCGTCCAATTCCTCCAAAATTTCGAGTTCCCGTTTTTGTTTTGTGATTTTTTCTTTTTTGGTCGATCTTTTACTTAGTGGGAAAAGGCTTTGTTGTTGTTGTTGGTCGATCTTTTACTTAAACTTGCTGTTTGAAGCAAGAACAAGGTCTGATCATGCACCACTTACTGTTCAGCAGAAACATTTTGCTAATATCTCAATGATATTGTTTTCTAGCACCAATGTTTCAGAATGGTTATTTATTTATTTTTATTCCAAATTGATATCGAGAATCATTTCTACTTAACTGCAAATCACAATGCAACACATACAAAAAAACAAGGAAAAAAGACATTTGTGTTGAAACCAACTACATATGGCTTCAAATGTCTTCAAGACGATTAGCAAATAGAGAACCAAAAGCCTCCCTACAATGTTTTTCCAAAACCAAGCCCAACTCAACCAACCATCACATTCTTGCTCTCTTGAAAGGTATCGCTCCTGTCCCATCTATCGAAACTATCTCGTGCTTCGTCGGTCTTCCCCATCCGAAATCAGCTGCACCATAAAAATCAAACCGGTGTGAACCAGAAATTGGAATCCTTCTATCAGTACTGCTGTCTGCAGTGTGTTGAGCATTCTTGAAACCCAAGTCTCTGCCCCATCCAAAAGGGTCTTGTCCTAACTTTGCTCACTTCACTGATTGCTTTCAAGCCAGAAACAGGCCATCTGCCGAATAGGTCCTTTGTTTCCGCAACTGCTCGATGTGCTGCAACACAATTCCCAAAATAGGTAACCCGGAGAGGAGGGTCTAAGCGTGGCCTGCGGTCCATGCTAACGGCAAAGTACTTTATCTGTTTTGGTATCCTGCCCTCACGAAGCAACCCCATGTGTAGGCGCATGTTAGCGAAAATGTTGACAAATGCAATAGTTTCGAATCATGATCAGCTTGTTTCTTCTTCTCCTCCGCCATCATAGCTGCCATCACTGAACGTCTCAGCATTTGGATTTTCGCGCCTGTGAATTCGAATGTGCCTCGAATTGAGTCTCCTGAAATCTCCAAAGGCATTAAGCTTCTATTGTTTGGACCGCCCAATCTTAACCACTCGTTTAAGTAGATTGCTTGGAGCCCTGCAGGGTCCGTGATGACCTTTCTGTCATAACTTGGTGAGGGTGGCGATCCTTCTCCTTCCCCTCCTCCATGTTTGCATGGGTAACCCCATAAGTTAAAAAATGAAAATGCAGATAAGCCATCTAGGACAACATGGTGCGGGCTGATCCAATTGAAAACAGCTATTGGGAAAGACGGTTATTTGCAATGCCAGCACCGCAGCTTTTTCATGAGACACTGCCAATTGGAGTACAAGAGGATGGTACTCTTTGGCTTTAATGTCAAAGTTGTTGCTTGAAGTTAGACGGTGGAAATCAGTATCAGATTCAGCGATTGTGAGCGAAACTGCATCGCCTGTGACACAACTGAGAAGGGGTTTGGAGGATTCTTGAGGCCAGGTGAGGTTTCCTGCTAGAGGGACAAAGTGTAAGAGTGCGATGGATAGAGAGGTTTTCAGTTTTGGAAGTATGGAATCGAAGAAGTGTGATGTGTCGAATGAAGGTATTTTGTAGAAAGGAGTTGAGGTGGTGGAAACCTTAGCCAGCGGATATCAAAGAAGGTTAGAGGAAGAGACAAATCCTCCGGGGCGACCGAGTCCGGGGAGCTTGGTATTCGGAGCTATGCTACAAACCTCAACTACTTTGACTGAGGCTGGTTCTGCCATTGGAGATGGAAAGAAGCTTAATTTCGTGTACAGCTTAAGTGAGGACCCTAATTATAAAATGGATTGAATGTTTTTTTGATTAATCAATCTGCTGCAATTGCAACAGAGGTTTTATATACATCTTATTACATACGCATGCAATAAACAAAAATATTGGAAATGGCATCCTTGCTGTCCACAATGCTGCTGTCAGAGCATCCAGTGAGACCCTTGCTGTCCATGACATGCTATCACCGATGCACTGTGAGTGGAGCATCTTCGATAGAAGAAGATGCCTTCCAGTAGAATAATCTTTTCAACACTCCCCTTCAAGTTGGAGAGTGTATGTCAAGAACTCCCAACTTGCGTAACATGATTGAGAATGGCATCCTTCCCAACGCCTTTGTGAACACATCTGCTAGTTGCTGTGAGGAAGAGACATGTTTAGTAACAACGGAACCATCTTGCACTTTGTCTCTGACAAAGTGACAATCATCTCTATATGTCTAGTCTGTCCATGGAAAACTGGGTTAGCAGCTATGTGTAAAGCTGCTTGATTATCACAATGCAGTGTGGTGCAGTCCCCTGGATGTGATAAGTTCAGGTCTTTGAGAAGATGTCGAAGCCAAGACAATTCACAACAAGCACCCTTCATAGCTCTGTATTCTGCTTCCAGCTGAAGATAGGGAAACCGTCTTTTGTCTTTTTGATCTCCAAGAAATCAAAGAAGATCCCAAGAATATGCAATAACCAGTGGTAGACCTTCGGGTGATTAGGCAACCTGCCCAGTCCGAGTCACAATAAGCTGTCAGAGCTAGATTGTGATGTGAGGAAAAAAAAAGGCCCTGACCCGGTGTGCCTTTGATATACCTTAGAACACGAAGTGCTGCCTCCATATGTGGCTTAGGCCATGCATAAACGGCTCAGGACATGCACCAGAATGCAAGAATGTCGGGGCGAGTGATGTCCAAGTAGAATCAAAACGCCCAACAATTCTTCTATACTGAGACAGATCTTTAAGCAGTTCCCCTTTGTCTGAAAGCTTCTCAAATTTTTGTTCCATTGGGAAGTCCACTGGCCGGCTCCCAAGAGGCCAACGTCCTTCAAATCTCCAAAGCGTATTTCCGTTGTGAGAGGGAAATACCTTTGTGTGAACGTGACACTTCAAATCCCCAGAAAATATTTTCAAATCTCCGAGATCTTTGATTCGAAAACGACTATGTAGGAATTTTTAAGAAGAGGATATGGCAAGCCATATTATTTCCAGTAATGACGATGTCGTCCACATAAATTAAAAGGGCTGTGAATGACTTTTCCTTTTCGATGAGTAAAAAGGGAGTAATCGGCTTTGGATTGTACAAAACCTGCAGTTTGAATAGCAGTGGAGAAATTGGCAAACCATTGACGAGAAGCTTGCTTTAACCATACAACGACTTGTTGATGCGACACACTAAACTCTCCCCTGTCGCAGAAGACAGGAGGGGGTGACATATAGATTTCCTCATGAAGACCGCCATGCAGAAATGCGTTATTAACGTCTAGTTGGTGAAGGGACCAATTTTGAGCAGAAGCAAAGCTCACAGACAGCGAACAATAGTCATTTTAGCTGTAGGTGAAAAAGTATCATGGTAATCAATGCTTCCATCTGAGTGTAGCCCTTGGCACCAAACGCGCTTTGTAACGCTCAAAATGTTCCATCAGAACGCCGTTTGACTTAAAAGACCCATCTGTGCAAAACCAATACATGAATTTTTCCAGGAGGAAGAGAAGTAACAAAATCCCCGTGTGTGATTTATCTGGCCTTCTGTCAGACGCCCGTGGTTCGATTTACTTGCGGCACTGACCGAAATCTGGTGGGCAGCTGGAATGTGTCAGTTGGCTGCCTATCATGAGTAACAGCATAGCATGGTAAGCACGAGGTAAGTTAGGCCGCTACCCAGGCCTTCCTAATGCGAGCGATGCGAACTGCTCAGGGGAAAGATGAATTAATCATTGGAGGGGAGAGGAATTTAGAGGTCAGGGGGAGGTGAATGGGAGGTGGTGAAATGATCTGAAAAGAAGATTCAAGGGATGAGGTGAAATAGAGGAAGGGAGGGATGGTGAAGTAGACGGTGGATTAGACGGTTCTAGAGTGGATGGAGAAGGAATAGGATCGACAATGGGGTAAAAAGGCATGTTTGTATGTGGTGTTACCGTGGGAGAAGTTGCAAGGGCTGAAATGGTAGGTATTGTTCATGAAAAATGACGTCCGGTTCGTAAATCTGTTTTGTTGTTAAATCATAAGTTTGTTGCCTTTTGGCCGAAAGGATAACCAAGAAACACAACCGAACGTCCGAGCTCGGGCATGCAACTTATGAGAAACTGTACATTGGTCGCATAGGCAGAAGATCCAAACACACGTATGTGAGAAAAGGTGGAGGTTTGGCATGAAAGTAGTTCATAAGGGGTTTGTAATGGAGAAGACGGAGTTTCGAAGTGATTATAAGGGGTACAGTGGTAAATGGAGAAAGGAGAAAAAAGAATGAATCCGCTGTGTTTAACCCCATGGAGGGAATATTACGATGCGGAAGCGGTTCTCACACAATACCGCCAAAAATGTCGAATGAGGTTGTTAAAGCTTGAAAATTGTAAAACAGCCAATGCATTCAAAAAATGACGAAGAGGAACTGAGGCATTTATCTCACGGGCGACCATCCGATTTTGGGTGTTGGTGTTTATCAGGAACTTAAAAAATTACCTCACACTACCTTATCTTAGCAGGAGGAATTCACAATTATGAAATCAAACCAAAATTGTTTAAATAAATTGGAACCAAAAAGAACATAAGGAAGACCATGTTTGTTCTTGGTATGAATCAACATATTGGCTTTAAGATAATGATTCAAAAGCAAGACTATCTTGGACCCCAAATGTCCCAGAGATGAAAAGAGGATTCAGCAAGACATTTGAGGGAAAGGTCGACAAGTTGCTATGTGAACATACAGATGCCGGTTAGTGGATGGAGGTGCCGAAAGTGGAGTTTCAAGGAGTGCCAAGCCTATCTGTAAAAAAAAAATCAATCTAGCCTGGACGCTTGTTTCCACTAAGTGATGCAAAGAGTGGAATGAGGAAGTTTTAATCTGTTCGTGTATACTGAATAACCAAGAAAATTACAATAAACATAGCCATCTTGAACAGGTTATTGGGGAATGAGGGACGTCTGTGAAGCTGGAGAATAATCGCCATGGCACTGAGTGACCTTGATAAATTAGTGGCAGTGATAGCGGGAACTGTGGGGAACTGATGTGCATCATATGAATGATGGAAGATACAACTAGGAATTGTTGCGAGAAGTTCGAAGCAGGCAATTGATGAAAGGCCGTAGGTGCTTGGTTATGGCGTTTTAATTGTTGGAAGAGTTCTTAAGGGCTCCAAATGGAAAGACAACTGAAGTTACAGTGAGTGTAGGGCCTGTTTGCAGTATACACTGATGCCCAAACGTCCAAATTTTGCTACGATCACAGATGGAGGTGGATAGGGTTTCCTAGCTGGCTGTCATAATCAACATGTCCTGCGGCGGCACCATAATGCATGAGGAAGTTGAAACAGGTGCCAACCAATTGGAGTTTTTCTCATCACAACACAAACCAGACTCTGATGACCTCCGCATTGTGACCTTTATACAAGTTCAACATTTACACTCTTTACAAAAGTAGTAAAGTTTGGTAGACTAAATAATGAGCTTCAACAGAAATTAGGCATTGAGTGAAAAAAAAATATGTTTTGTTGTTGAATTTGATAAAGTTATCAGTGGTGCCATTAATTGTATGGATTATGCTCAGAGGCCCAGGTACAGCGAATGCAGTTCTGCCCCATTGGTGGTATTGTGTTGGCAGAACTTCCATGGCGTTGTTGCGTCACACTGTTGTTCCCACGTCCACACCTCTGTTGCTACGATGAAGAATGTTCGGGAGGGTATCCGTGCAGTTGTAGCATGCATCAATGTATAGGTGGGCGGTGTCACAAATAAGTGCAGTGGAGTTGTCTACGGGAAGATGAGCTGTTCAAGGTCAGTTGCGACGACTGCTGCCATGGACGAACTGCCATTGCTGATACCTCTGCAGCTTCACGTGAATCGCTTACATCGCGCTGTTTTTTCTTGCTGGACAATCATGGAATACACTGAACGCACAGAGGGCAATGGTTTCATCATCAGAATGTTGCCTCGCGCAGCACCATAAGACTCGTTGAGGCCCATGAGGAATTGCATCAATCTGGTTTTCTCCGCTTGATCGCCTTGCTTCTTTAAAGCACCACAGGTGCAAGACTCATGATCATTGTAGGATGCAAGTTCATCCCACAAACTCTTTAGTTTGGTATAGTAAGCAAGCAGCAACAGATAATTGATCCTGAGAAATAGAAGCTATTTCTCGTTGAATTTGATAAATTATGGGTGCATTACCCTTGGCTGAAACGATCTTCAAGATCCTGCCAAATCGCGCTTGGGGTGTGGTGTAGTAGACAATGCTATCATGGATAGTCTGCTCAACTGAATTCAAGATCCAGGAAACGATCATGTCGTTGCAGCGTTTCGTTCCAGGAAGCAAAATCATTCGGTTTCGTCTTTTCATCAGGAGCTTCCAGTGTTACCATCCACAAAACCCAGCTTGTTCTTAGCACTCAGAGAGAAAGCTTTAACAGAACGACACCAAGTGGAGTAGTTGTCTCCGTTGAGAAGTTTGGAGACAGACCAATGAACCATCGCTGGATGGTCGGAAATGAAAAAAGGACTGGAAATGTTGGATTTATTTCCATCCAAACTCTGTTCGTCACCCATGAAAGAACAACGACAGAGAAGAAAAAAAAATGTAGAAAAAGATGCAGCGGGAAGAAGCTAAGGGTCTGCTTGAATTAACCTTGCTCTTAATACCATATAAAATGGATTGAATGTTTTTTTTATTAATCAATCTGATGCAATTGCAACAGAGGTTTTATATACATCTTATTACATACGCATGCAATAAACAAAAATATTGGAAATGGCATCCTTGCTGTCCACAATGCTGCTGTCAGAGCATCCATGTGAAGACCCTTGCTGTCCATGACATGTTGTCCACGATGCACTGTGAGTGGAGCATCTTCGACAGAAGAAGATGCCTTCCAGTAGAATAATCTTTTCAACACTAATGGCTATATATACACACTTAGGAGGTGTATTCACTTAGGACTCTTGTAGAGTTTTAAAGACTTAAAGTTTTGAGGT